AGGAAAAAACCTGATCGGCACATCTCTATTAAAAACTATAAGATGCACAGTCATGGCTGCAAAACAAGCCCATATTATCATCCCTTCATCACTGTGCTTGGCAGCTGATATGAGGTGCTCTGCTTTCTCCAAATATGTCCCACTCCAATATCATCACCTTCCTAAAATAATGGTCTTGAAGTTTTCTGCCAAAAGATGTTTTAAGCAATAAAAGACTTGGCCGTTGTTTTAGGGAGGTAACAATATAACAGATCATCTCCCCTTTTGTTTGGCCAGTCCAGGGAAAAACTGTGTAAGCAGAATAAACTCAAAAAGTAAAAAAAGTGCAGTACCATGCAAAAGTCTTCATAAACCTGGAATATTACCCATAAATGTCCATGTATTTTTTTTTAATTGTCCTCAAACCAGAAGTGTCAGATGCTTCCCAGTTGTTACTCCTCAGCTGTGGAATCAGTTGCCTCTATATATTAGGCAGACTGCATCTCTGCTACTTTAATGCACCAGTTGTATTTAGTACAGTTGTACCATGTTGAATGTGTTGAGTTTGCTGCACTTTTAGCAGGATGTATTCCAGGAGTTACTCTTTCTCCCTACTGTTAGTTTCACTATGAGTTCAAACTTCAACTGAACTCAGTTCTTATTGCAGAGAAACTGCGTGACTTAGTGTTTTTAATTAGTACGTTCTTCCTAATTGTTTCAACTTTTTCTGATGATTCATAAACTGTAACCTTTAAAATGTAGAATATGGCCTCTAATAATTGTATTAAATATTTTTCATTCATGAAAAATCGGTGCTTGGATTAATTTTAAATTGTGTGAAATTCAGATTTTTACATTTGACAGCAGTAATTACCTACTCTCAGATCGTTGTTAATATCTTTCTCCTCTCATTTAGTAGGAACAACCTGTGATTTGACAGAGGCTGGTGATCAGCTAGTCAGGACTGTTGGATTTAAAACAACTCAACCTCCTTATTCCTGTTTCAACTGTCAGGATACATTTCCTGTCTAACACACGCTTTTACACTTTGGCTTACTTTTTGTTAAATAAGTTGTACTTAAATTAGCGCAGTTAAGTAACTTGTATCACACGCTCATACTGAAAATCTTGAGTTGACTTTATTTTTAACAAGCGCCGTCTACTCTAAAAGCTAGAAGCTCAGGCAATATCTTGGGCACAATTTCTTCCTGCAAAACAATGATCAATGGTGACTTTAAAATCAGTCAGTCCCTCAGTTCTAATGAACCCATATTTAACCAAAGATTTTACAAACCTGGATATCACTCTTTTGTCTCGCTCTGTTAGATGATGTCATAGCAAAGGACCTGATTGAGCAAATGATCAGCGCTGATGCAGAGTCCCGGCCCTCCACTGCCTGTGTGCTTAAACATCCGTTCTTCTGGAGCCCTGAGAAGCAGCTGCTCTTTTTCCAGGTAATTCACAACTTTTCCACCAATCACAAAGCAGCTTTGTTATCAATAGAGGTGTCTGCTTCCTTTACGCTCAGGATTGTCCTGTGCTTGCTGTTGAAAGGACGTCAGCGACCGCATAGAGAAGGAGCCAGCAGAGAGTCCGATTGTGGTCAGACTGGAGACTGCAGGCAGATCAGTGGTCCGAACCAACTGGAGGATGCACATCTCTGTCCCTCTGCAAACAGGTGCAGTACCATGCAAAAGTCTTTGTACACCATAAATGTCCATGTATTTTTTTGGGATTTGCTGACCAAATGTATTGAATTGTCCTCAAACCAGAAGTGTCAGATGCTTCCCAGCTGTTTCTCCTCAGCTGTGAAATCAGCTGCCTCTGTATATTAGGCAGTCTGCATCTCTGCTACTTCAATGCACCAGTTGTATTTAGTACAGTTGTTACCACTAGAGAATGCACTCATTAAACTTAATTGTATTTTATTGATATTGATCGATATTGATTGTTCTCCATGCTTTATTGTCCTCATGTGTTCTCACATAAGATTTTTTTGTCAACGCTACATCTCAAGAGGCACATATGTTATAAATAAACAAACTATAAAACACCAAGGTTAATGTACTAGACTAGTATGTGCAGGTGTGTAGCATAATTATGTACAGAAAGTCATGGTGTGCGGCGGCCGCTGGGGGAGTCCTGCGGGGGGGAGATGTGTTTTGATATTCACAGCTCTGGGGAAGAAGCAGTTTTCCTGTCTGGTCCTGTGTGTTTTTATGTCCCAGTACCACTGTCTCGGAGGAGGTGTTCTGTCAGATCCAACATACTTTGTCAGATAGTCGTACGCTTAGCTCAGACATGCATACGCTGTCATTACCATATGATTTTATTTAATCAGCAACATAGAATCATGACGTAGATCATCATACACTTTGCTATGAACAGCTGTATGGCAACCTGACTTAGCGGTTAAGTAGGTTAATGAGTTTTACACGGGCGTGTGTTGTGGTTGACTGCAGCTGCAGCTCGACTGCTTTAAATACACTTTGAAACCACGACAACACATGTATATTTATCTAGTTATCATATTATTAACAATTTAATGACTTATTTTCGTCATAACTTGTTGCGTATGCTGAACTGACAACTCCACTGACGGTCGGACTTCTTAATGCGCATGCGTACTAACTGCATGTATGCTATCCTGACAGCGTATGGCTATCTGATAGAACAGAGGCAGTAGAAACGGTGGGAGGGTTGGAGGTCTGGTGGTGGGTGGGATCCACAGAGATACATCTAGCCTACTTATACTGAAGCCCTTTGTGGGAGTGGAGTTCCCACAATCCCCTGTGCTGTTTTCAAAACCCAGACCAGGTTCTTTCTGAAAACCATTTACAATTTTATGCTACTTTGTGTTTGTCTGTCACGTAAAATCCATTGAAGCTTGTAGTTATAATCTCACAAAACTGGGGAAAAAATGTTTAAAGTGGCAGTATTACTTGACTTGTTTTTAGCTTTACGTGATGTTATAATGTTATTTCCTCATCAAAAACATATCTGGAGTGTTGCCTTGATTCTTATAGGCATGTTTGAGAAATCCTTTAATCTCCATGGCAGCCATTCAGCCTGGGTGGATGAAACGCTACCTTCAAAGCGCAGCTACTCTTCAGAGCTGCAGTCTTCAAGCCGAGGTTCCACCTTACCGAGCAGCCCTCCCCCACTTGGCTCCTTCAGACTAGCCAATAGCAATAAGCAAACACCTGGTGAACTGCTGAGCTCATCATAGGAACTACTTCTCAGTGCAATGCTGCTAAAAATGTTTTTAAAGGGTTAATAGAGGAGCAATGTTATAATTATAATGACATCCTAAAGTTTCAGAAAAAAGCAGAAGTTTTTAAAGGGACAAAGGTCCAATTCAATCAAATTTCTGTAAAGTCATATTTGATATATGTAGCATTTTTATAACAACTAAAGGTAACATAGTTACTTGATTATGCTATAAAATGGCACTATGTGCCTGAGAAACACAGAACACCACCCCTTTAAGGGGTGTGAATATTCATGCAAACGTGCTAAAATGAAAACTGCTCCCTTTAGCAGAAAAAAAAGGTATGAGTTGTTGCTCTAATTTTTGCTCCAGATTTGAGGCGGTTCAGGACATACAAAGGAAACTCGGTGAGAGATCTGCTCAGAGCCATGAGGAACAAGGTCTGTCTGGTCCCCACATGTTGCCTGTTTACAGAGAACAGTTACACATCCTCACTCTAATAGTAGGATCATGTTTTGTTTTCAAAATGTCACAGAAGCATCACTACCATGAGCTGCCACCAGAGGTCCAGGACACCCTTGGGGAACTTCCAGAAGGCTTTGTCAGCTACTTCACCTCCCGGTTTCCACGGTTACTGATGCACACGCATGCCGCCCTGCAAATCTGCACCCATGAGAGGCTCTTTCACCCTTACTATCTGCCACCCAAAGCCAAATAGCTTTCACATGACTCAGGCCTCCATGTTTTATGCACAGAAAGAAAAAGAGCCTACACTTTTTCAGGGGCAGTGCTGTGAAGAAGTTTTTATATGCCTTTGGAAGTTTTATAAAGTATTTTTAATGGGTTTTATTAGACCTTTTCTTTACAAAGGTTTTAAATGATTTAATAAACACCCTTTTTTAAAATGAGGAAAAATGCTTCTGAGAACTAAAACACTAAATAAATAGGAATAACATTATTATCAAGCCCTAGTAAAAGTGTGTTAAAAGCTCTAAAAGTCCACTATTATGCAAAATTCACTTTTTGCTTGTTTCTCTTCTATGGGGGATTTTTTCTGCCATAATCCAAGAGCACACATGTTCAGTCTGAAAGCAGGATTTCATGTCTTTTGTTCTCAAAACTTTTAAACGGGGACAATGATGTATCAGAAACTCGCTAAATACTAAACAGATTTTCAAGGTGTTTTTGCTGTAAACCTCAGCATGCGTTCATGCATTTTCTCCCAGTCACATAGAACAGAGCTGCATGGCTTCATTTTATTTTTGCTTGCAATATCCCTGTGATGTTGCAAAAGACAACTGTAATTTGTACAGATCAATTTAGTTAGGAATCCTTTGAAAACTACCAACAGAACATGACAGAATTTACCAAAGACTGGGAATGAAGGAAGGTTCTGCTCCTACTCTTAAACACAAATCTGCAGATGATGGCGATGTAAGTAAATAATGGTATCTTGTGTGTTTTGTAGTGTTGTTTGGTTTGAACATCATTTGTCAGTTAGTACAATTCCAGTAAACTGGGATTGTAACTGAAAGTCTACATTGAGAAGATGCAGTGTTTGTGAAAACATCTCAGACTCTTGGACATTACTGACATTGCCTGAATAGTATTTTACACCTTGAAAGAAATGCTTCTCCTCTAACCTCTCAAATATATATTTTAGCATTTGTCTGCTAATGCATTTGTGGACAAAAAAAACGATCTTTGTGCTGATGTGCTTAGTGTGCTGATGTCAGTTGCTCAACTTTTCACATCATAGCACATTGCCCCAAAGCACAGCAGAATCTTCAGAGTTTGAATTAATAATGATGTAAATGTGTGTCAGATCCACCACGTTTAATCATTCAGTGGTTGTGGCTTGCTGGTTGTTCAGGAGGCTTCACTTCTGCTTCTGGGTCTGACTTGGAGTCAAAAATGTATGGTTGTACCACTGTGCCCCTGCCTGCAGCCATTTTCACATGTCTGCTAATGTAAACAGTGTGTTGAGAGAACTTAGTCAGCAGTAGGTTATTTACATAAGCATGATGTAACCCTACAACAGTGCATTCCTAAATGAGCTCAAAACAGGCAGAACTTATGAGGGGAAATCTTAATATCTGAGAATGATTTTGTATATTAAATGTAATGAGCATGTTGTGTATGTTGTGTATCCCAGCCTGAATCTGTCCAAGCATAATAGTGGACCTTTAAAATGAATGACTGCAGATTCAGTCACAGTTAGTTTTTTCAAATATGCTCTTATAGCAATTTTCAGACTTGAATGACCAGGTTCTCTTGCCTTTGTCATTTTGAAGGCTAGATAATAAAAATAGGCATCTGTTCAGTAGGGAAATGTATTTATTTAAAATACATTTTAAATGAAGAGTGCTATGGATGGATAGCACGCTGATTAGCTATCCATCCATCCATTATGTCACATGTTTACCCTTCTGGTGTCAGAAGGTTGCTGGTGGGGCTGGTGCCAACCTCCAGTGGTCAGCAGGCGAGACGCGGGTCACTCTAGACAGGTCACCAATCCATCACAGGGCAATACAGAGAGGACAAACAACCTCATACCCACACAGGGAATTTAGAGAGAGTAATTACCCTCCAAATTAGAGAGTGGAAGGAAGACGGAGTACCCAGAGAACCCACACATGCACAGGGAGAATATGCAAACTCCATATGCAGGAATTGAACCTAGGACCTTCTTGCTGCAAGGCAACAGTTCTACCAACTGCACCACCTCAATCACCTTCTGACCAGCTATTGAAGTATTTATTAAACTTCTATTTAGATGGTGCCAATTTACAACAATTATTGTCTTAAGTCAATCCATTCATATAGACAAATTCCGTATAAATTAATGTGGAAATTCTTAGGTATGTTACTGCTGGCACCACAAATTATTTACTTAATTTGTTTGTTTTTATTTTCCATTTGGTACTGTATATTTCTAGCTGGTTTTGGAGGTCCACATTATATCCAACTAATCCAACGTTGTTCTAAGAAAAAGGAAAAATAATTCATATTTAATAGAGTAAGGGTCAGCAGGCAGGTCTAAGGGCTTTTTTTTTGTTTTAATGGTTTTTTTAAGGAAAGTTCGATGGGATTTTTTTATGACTATTTTTTTACATTTATTAATTGGGAGTCTGGGCGTGGGGGGGTTCTTGTCTTCTTTCAGAACATCGAATTAATGTTTATTTGGTAACACTTTATTTGAAGGGGGTTGAATAAGACTGACATGACACTTTCATAAACATGACATAACACATGTCATGAACATGAATAAGCCTTCATGACTGTTGTCATAAAGGGTCATTGGGTAAATTATGACACTTTTAATACAAAGTTGACATTATTCAAAATATCTTTGTTATGACAACTTGACATTAACCAAGAAATCATTACTGATATAAATTTGTTTTAAAAAATTAGGTAACTTTATATTATTAAAGGTAAAGTTTAAACAGTAATGATTTCTTGGTTAATGTCAAGTTGTCATAACAAAGACATTTTGAATAATGTCAACTTTGTATTAAAAGTGTCATAATTTACCGAATGACGCTTTATGACAACAGTCATAAATATTCATGAAGGCTTATTCATGTTCATGACAGGTGTTATGACAGTCTTATTCACCCCCCTTCAAATAAAGTGTTACCGTTTATTTTCCCTGATCAACATTAATTAGAATGTTGCTTGGGAAGACCTTATTTCTAAATTTAGACTTGTGGTTTTATTTTCAATCATTTTACTTCTTAATTTTTTTTTGTAAGGTCGTCTTTTTTACCCTTCTGATTAAATGTTCTCACCTACATTTTTCAAAAGTTTTTATACATTTTCTAATGTGTCTTAAGTCTCTTCTGCTTGTTGCCTGTCCTTAGCAGTGGTTTCCTAGCAGCTATTCTACCATGAATGCCTGATTCACACAGTCTCCTCTTAACAGTTGTTGCAGAGATGTGTCTCTGTGTGGCATTGACCTGGTCTCTAATCTGAGCTGCTGTTAACCTGCGATTTCTGAGGCTGCTGACTCGGATGGACTTATCCTCCGCAGCAGAGGTGACTCCTGGTCTTCCTTTCCTGGGGCGGTTAAGCCAGTTTCTTTGTAGCGCTTGATGGTTTTTGCGACTGCACTTGGGGACACTTTCAAAGTTTTTCCAACTTTTCGGACTGACTGACCTTCATTTCTTAAAGTAATGATGGCCAGTCGTTTTTCTTTACTTAGCTGCTTTTGTGTTGCCATAATTCTAACACTCTATTCAGTAGGACTATCAGCTGTGTGACTTCTGCACAACACAACTGATGGTCCCAACAACATTTATAAGGCAAGAAATCCCACTTATTAACCTGACAGGGCACAGCTGTGAAGTGAAAACTATTTCTGATGACAACCTCTTGAAACTCAAGAGAATGCAGAGTGTGTGCAAAGCAGTAATCATAACAAAAGGTTGCTACTTTGAAGAAACTAGAATATAAGGCATAATTTCAGTTGTTTTACACTTTTTTGTTAAGTATATAATTCCACATGTGTTAATTCATAGTTTTGATGCCTTCAATGTGAATCTACAATTTTCATAGTCATGAAAATTAAGAAGACTCTTTGAATGAAAAGTTGTGTCCAAACTTTTGGTCTGTACTGTATATATATATATATATATATATATATATATATATATATATATATATATATATATATATTTTTTTATTAAAATATAAAAATAAAAATCTTTACTTGCATATTTCTTTGTTTTCCTTCATTCACTTTTCTGCAATATGCAGTATGTCCCTGAAAACATCCTGTAGA